GGGTTAAAAAGCTATGAATTGTTCATCACAAAGCTTGAGGGTGATGGTGACAGGAAGTATGTAAGAGAATTAATGACTGACCTTCGATGGATGATTGTATTCGTCGCGAATGTGTTAGTAGGTACCTAGGTAGTTAATGGTCATGAAGTGGTGTTAAGACATCGGAGGTCATAGGTATGCTATGCCTGAGAGATTGTAAAAGAAAGCGCAAGCCTCATCAATAAGCACATTTCATCAATATATCTTCTTTGCCATCTCATACACGTCGAAACAAACGACTGGCGAATGTGTATGTACTGTATAGTGGTGTTCATTGAATTGATGATTTGAATTTTTGTGGAAGAGAAATTTTACACACCCAGTTTTTATTAAGTACTAGCGGGCGGTGGGCCCGCCCCACTTAGTCTGATGACATAATCGGCGCCTTGTGTTCATTACAAAAATACACCCGCATGATCAAAACTACCATTTTGTTGCATTTTGATGTGGTTGTAATTCCTACGAAGTCTATAAGCAAGTATCTGGTATTGAGGTTCACCTTATAGACGGAGGCCTAGTCAATTGGCGGAGTTGCGATCAGTATTTATTCGGTATCCGTGGAATTGGGAGTAAGCTTTTTGTTGGTGGAGAGGCAGATGCCCTCGGGATTCAACCGGACTTTTAAGACAGAGGGTGAGAGGTATGCGTGGTTCGTGAGAAAGGTAGGTTGTACCGGACAACTCGGTTTCTGTCCCTTCTCTTGACTTTTGATGGCCCCAAAACGGGTTCATACATCGGAACAATCCTTCTCTGATTCTTTGCGCGAGATATCAAGAGCGCGCGAAGCGAAAAGACGCTGGTGCTATTTCCAGCCATGAGCAGGATCATCTAGGTAGGTAGGAAGGAAGTTCACCTTCAATCTAATCCCGTGGCTCATGTTCACTTCGTTTTCGTTCGCCCTTCACTCAATTCCAACCTGGAATTGATCCATGTATTTCCACTTCAAGGCCATCTTAACAAGGCTTATCTCCGAAAGATCCGCGCAATGATCTCGTCGGCTATTATTTGACGGTATTTCCACCTCACTCCTGGTGAAGGAAAGGGTGCCGTTTCTCATTTATCACGTGTATAGCGCTTTTCCGTCTCCATTCGCGTCTTTGGAATTAGTTCAAAGCCATTAAAAGATCCGTGATTTCGGAAAAGTGACTTTAGATTTTGTATGATTCTCCTCTCATTCTCGGTGCATTATATAATAGCACAAAATTAATGCAATAGCTTAGATGTTGCGTTGCCTTCGCCCTCGCCCAGACTTCGAAATAAATCACAAGCTAATATATATCCTCAACCTTTTCATATACCCCATTCCTCTGTCCTCGCGCACCGTAGATCCAAGAGCAAAAGTTTAAATGACTAATGCTCTTCCCCGCGTTAACCACCCGATATGTGCTCCCCGACCCTTCATCTTCTCATGCTGGATTTTTTCCAACACAGTCACAAAATGCGTAGCCTTCCAGTTTGGTAATTAAATGTTTAACTCTGATATTTGGAATGCATCATACTGCATTCCATTGCTTTCTTCCTGTTATGCTTCCAAGTGTCCCCATCCCTTCATCACTGCAAATACAATCAGTATACCTGTTCAAACGCTTTGGCAAACTGCATGAAACTCTCCACATCTGATGTCCACCCATCCATTCCGCGGATCAAGATCACACATGTCATCCCCTTGGAATCCTCTTTGTATCTTGCTGCTGCTATACTGGACAATCCATTGAATCCTGTTACCACTGGGCTGCCGTGAAATTTATACCGAAATATTTCTTGTATGAGTCGACGGATAGGATTCCATCTGCGAGAAGTCTCGGTCTTGGCCTTCTTCCCATTCCATTGCTAGTATTCCTTCTCACTACAATGATTTGGCCAACATTATTCGGAAGATGCTCAGGTAATCTGCCGGTTGACATGGTGAGGTTCGAAGCTCTCCAATTCCGCTTGATCATAGCTTCGTTCTCCACCTCGTCATGATTGTCACAATCTTCGGAGGAGGTAAAGATATTAACATGGTCGTCTTGATCTCTCTGTTCTTCTTCAACCAAGTGCCGGGTCTTCTCCAACACGCCCCATTTCTGAGAAAGGGTGATGCCGGCATGGCCGGAATATACTTTCCTGTCAACTTGCCTGCGTTTTACAGTATCTCATGGTAACCTCAGAGGTGCACTCTCATCAACTCCGCATTTCGTTCCCCTGGGTCCATTGTCATCTCCAGAATATGGGTAGCATTTATCAATCCGTCGGAAAGGCGCTTAGCAACAACATTCGCCCCACAGGCAGTGAGCATATGTATGTTCGATTTCCTTGAGACCTAGTCCTTGTCTCCCCATCTTTCATTCTTCTACCCAGAATCTCAGAGATATTCTCAATCTCAGACTCTTCGTCAGAGGGCACATAACCTCGGCCAGCAATAGTGGCTCGATTAGATTGGCGACCCCCCATGCCTTGGAGATTGCGACTGCCTTGTAATACGGAAAGTACTATCCGCTGACTATTGCAGTACCGATTTTCAATTCTTGGCCAAAGTCCTTGCTATATCTTTGAATTATGGAATTGCATTTGCTATCCGATGCACCAGCCGAAAGGATTATCTGCGTTCCGTTAATCCAGTTGTTTCTGGTATTCCGCGCGATAGTCTTGTGTATGATCGAACCTCGCGAAGTTCTCACGAGTAAGAACGTGAGATTGCCTTTGCTGTAGTCCTCAACACGACTGTGCAAAAGCGTTGATCCTGGCCATTGTAGTCTTGGCTTCACGATACCGCGAGCATTTAGGAGACCCTCGATATCCTTCTGCAAGCCAAGCTCACGAATCCTATTGATGACAACCTTCTCTGGTGGCATATATGTGCCTGAAATGCCTTGTCTCATATTGATAACTTCGCAGCCGCTTACCACCTTCTTCAACCTATCAATTTCGGTCTGAACAAACGTCTTGGTCGTGAAAGTGGGATTATGTAACGCCAAAATAGATGTGATGTTTAGCCAACCATCTTCCTGTCGTTTCATGACATTTCTGCCTCAAACCGACAATTTCCCATAAAAGAGACCTCGATCCACGGAAACATACATATCTTCTGTTGGTGTCGTATCTGGAAGAAGCCGAGTTGAATTTCCATGGTTGTTCTGGTCCGTAGCAACCTCCCCATAACCCGCTTGACAGGAGATGTGTAGTTGTCATCAGCCATGGGTGGGTCTAGCAATCCAACCCTATGCTTCCCACATACCCTAGTTAGAGTCATACTCTTAACATATAAGTATATTTTCGATTTTCGGAACAATAATATTTTTATTTTTATATGCTATTTAAAATGATGTTATCTCTTTACGAAAAGATCAATTATAGTAGATACAAGTGTGTGCTAAAGGAAGAGACCCGACTACCATTCCTTCACAAAAAGACGGACAACCACAATTGCCATCCCTCCACGAGGAAGAAATCCGACTATCAGCCCTTTGCAAAAATACAGATACCCATAATTACCATCCATCCACGAAAAGATTAATCATAGCAAATACCAGAAGCAAACGATAAGAATATCAATTTGGAGCTTAACATGAAGTCAGAGCCGAAGAACAACAACTTCGAGCCCGGCATCAAGTAATAGCCAAAGAAGAACAGCAACTTCGAGCCCAGCATCAAATCAGAGCTGAAGGTAAGTTATCCAGCAGGAGATACGATTGAGGTGACAATTGAATGGTTTGCCAGAAAGGAAAGAATAGAGATATCTTAGCCAAAATGTTTTCACTTTATGGTAGGTATATAGGCATTCAAATTGAAGCCTCATAAAAATGTTCACCCCTGGCTGTAGAAGGAATACTTTCCAGTAGTACTCAAAATTTTATTTAAAGAGATTCGAGGTTTCAGAATTCGATCAAATCTCAAACTATTGAGCCTCATAAATATATAAGAAAATGATTCATGCAGGTATTCATTGATTAATGAGACTGATTTATTCGAGCCAGGCATCTCATTCATCAAGGTAACGCCTTGAATTCAATCCGATGCGTTTACCCCCTTTATGTAATCCGGATATGGATCCGAGGGGTAAGCTTATGCCCGCGTAAGTCTAAGGGAATACTTTACTTGCGCAACCAATTCGGTCCTAGAGTGAAAAAAGAGTGGCAGGAGGACAGGAGGGCGGGCGGGCGAAGGGCAATTATGATAGGCCCACTCTCCTCCTCCCTCTCCCTCACCCCTCCATCTCGAGTCAAACTACTGCACTCGATTCGGTAAGCAATAAACTCACGCCTCCAAAACTCCAAGAACACGCGGGCGTGCGTTTGATCGAATCAACCTAATCAGTTGTTCCAATGGCCGATTGGGGTGGTACTTGAGCTGCAGGAGGATGAGGAGGAGGAGGAGGAGAGGGTGGGGGGGAGAGAGTGGAGGAGAGGGTGGGGGAGGAGAGAGTGGAGGAGGGGGAGGGGGAAGTGAAGGCCTATCATAACCTTCTAGTTCTCCACTCTATCCCTACCCCTCTCTGTTCCCTTCTCTCCTCCTCCTTTTTCATTCAAAGCTACAAATACCATCCAAATCAATCATTGGAACAACTGATTCAGTTCGGGAAGAATCTTTAAAGCTTTCAGGCTTTAAGCCTTGAAGTCTTTTAAACGCCGTGCGTACGGTCCTTCTGCTGTAAGAGTCGCTACGCGCCTACGCTGTTTCGAATGACTTCAATCGACTCAAGATATTGACATTGAAGGCACAAAATATTGTAATTTGAAAAGAATTCAAGGAATTGTGTCGGACACCTAAATAAAATGAAGGAAGGATTGAGCAGGTCTTGATCCGAAACCATTAAGATGCGGATGTAAACACTAAGGAATGAAGGGACGTACAGTGGCATACCGCTAAGCCAAGCGGGTCAGCTGTTGCTTTATGACATAGAAATCATCGTGGCCTTATAGTTGCAGACCCACTCTTGAAGATATATTTTCTTTTAACCGATCGTTCTTCAACAACAAACAGCCCACTTGGCGCAGTGGTACCGCGTGTCACTCGTATCTAGAATACGGAAATGACAAGATCATTGGTTCGATTCCAGTAGTGGGCATTCTTTTTGAACATTTAATATTTTTATATTTTTTTTATATTTATTATATATAACCTTAGTGAAGACCCCTGGTTTCAAAACATAATTCTTTAGATGTGACGGGTTGTGCACCTTCGGGCGCACGGACCACCTAGTCACATGATCAGCCTCCTAGTTCTAGTAGAAATAGAAAAGGAAAAGAAAGTTTGACTTCCTTATCCGTCTAACCATCCGATATACTCTAGCTCTGACCGATAGCGGATATTTGCAGAAGAAACGAAGATGACTAGGTTTTGGAAGTTTGCTATACTTTGACTTTGAACGGTTAGGCCGCATGTATGATTCGCTAGGGCGCCCGGTCGCGCAGCGGGCATATAAGCCCTATGTAGATCATCCTTCAATCTATATACAATTCATACCAGTTTAACTTTTATTTCATAGTATTGATCAATACTTACCATCGAGGTGATAGAATTGGACTGATTGAGGTAGGAATGGTAGAATACTGTCAGGCACGTCACCTCGGGCATATGGAATGGAATCTAGGTATTGTATTAGATAAAAGAACTATGCTAAAGAGAAAAGGATCCTTTTCAAAAGATCACCATCTAAATATAGAGGGTGGTAATTCGTCTCACTCGTATTCAATTACGGTCATGAGAAGATCCGCGGTGAAGCTGGAGATTTCTTGTCTTGATCGGTTCCCGATCAAGACCCGATCAAATCTTCAGATATCGATACCCAACCGACCTCCAAATCTACGATGCACTTCCTTCAACTTCCCCCACACATCGAGTTATTTCCACTCCATCCTATGACAGCATGGTTAGAAAGTTCATTTTATTAAAGTCGGGTAACTCACGGGTTCCCCAGTAGGCTCGAAGCTCTTGATCAATTCGCTTTCATATATGAGATTGGGATTGCCTTTGAGTTCGGTGTTCAAGGCTTCTATCTCCCCATACTGAGTCGCAGAGCGTTTCGCGAATCCATCAGTATCCAGCTTTCCTTCCTGCTTCAGGTTTTGCAACTTCTCCTTGACACTACTTCTAACATATTCTAAATATGGAGGGTTTCCTGGGCTAATAACATTATCGGCGGCAAGAACAGCTCCCTTCTTTATGAGACCTAATTGTTCACACAACTTCAGGTCGGCCGTGTATGCTGGTTTATAATGATCTAGAAACATCATATCGATAGACTTCAATCCATTCGAATTTAGCTTTTGAATTCCCTCATTACTAGGACCGATGAGCACCTCGACAAATCCATCAAGGCCTGCAAATTCTACGAGCGCAGTAATGACTTTCGCGAATTTCGGGCTCCTCTCCAATGAATAGTATTTTATTCCTCCGGCAGCTCGTACTGCAGACCCGAAAAGTATCGTGGAATATCCACAATATCCTCCGAGCTCGACCATTATTTGAGGCTTATTTTCCTTGATTATATTTGTAACAATTGCTCCCTTGTTCTCTCCGACGTTCATGAGATATCTCTTGGTTCTTCCATATTCATCGATAGCTCGCAGCACGTTCGATGGCGAGCCTTGAATTGTGGATCGATCGGGATGATTTCGTACAAATTCAAGAAGTTCTTCTTCTCGCCCATCATCGAACTGCATGGGAAGTTAGCAGTGAAGTATACTAGATTCTAACCAGAAAACCTACAAATGTTTTCTCTTGTGAAGCATAAGACTTTGTCTTATCAAATTGCGCCATACTTTTGACTATGCAAAAGTTGCAGAGAGCGATGTGCAATGCTTACAATTGAGCTCACTTGCGAAGCAGCAATTTCAACTCTTCCAATTACCGCAAATACCCGGTAATGGCATGGTGAAAACAATATATTTCACTACATACCAAATTCCGAGATTTCGTGTCCTTGCTTGTTAGGCACTACTGTCGTGTTCGGATCTTTGATTTTCGCATATGTTTGTGTCATCGATTTTCGACAAGTCGTATTCGGTGTTGGACTAGAGTATATTATCGAACTATATCTCTATTCATATGCATGTATCGTTCAATGTACTTCGATACACTAAGCCTTAGAACCACCCTTTTAGCTTGAAAGGTGGGGAGCTTTGTTTACGAAATTTATCACGTCTTTGAACAAGAACGATAATTTGATGAAAGCGTACAAAATAGGACATAATTGAGGAAACGTCACCTTGTAGCAGTTTACAAGATAGCAAATTAGTTTCCAATGAAAATGATTAGCAAAAGCACGCCTTTAACCTGAGGTAATACCAACGGGTAGATGCGGATGCTGTGCTATTATACCAGGTGTCAAGATTTCCGAACAGCAAAGCTATGAAGATAGTGTAGGGCGATCTGTGAACTAGAATCTACCCGAGATCTGGAACCAGCTGATCGTGGGGTCATGGAATTTGCTTACGCTAGAGAAAATGCATGCCAGGGGCGGGCTGTTTCCCTGGTCTTTGCATTCTCTTTGCTCTTGCTTGGTGTATTTTCGTTAGTGTACAGCGATGGTCTCGCCCGTTATTTCAAATTCTTTGTATTTACTTGTTCCTGGTCTCGGAATTGAACTTCTAGCCAGTCTGGAACGTTGGGATGGCTGATCCCATTCTGGTTAGCGTTGGGAGATAATTTCATAGACTTGTTTCACCATGCATGTTTGACTGAACAATCTCCGTTCTTGAACTGCTTAAATTTGATCGATATCAATATGTTACTTGATAGAGATCGGTGTATGTTTGGATAATCTGCCGTGTACTAATGAGACATAGTTTGGTCTTGGTGTATGATGGTGTAAAATTACTAAATCTAATAGTAGAGTCTTGTTGATGCTGGTACCTTCCTGTCCCTTCCGTGTGTTGTTTAAAAACTCTTCTCTCCCGAGATCTGATTGAGAATATCCGCAGCAATAGTTCCCACAGCACACCTCACCTAACTCTTTTTAATATGTCTGACCTCAAAGCGACCGTTTCAGAGACCACAACAAAGTCCGGTCATGCCGGATTCCATGTCGAAGGTTATGAGAAGATTGAATATGACTTCACTTTTATTGATGGTGTCTTCAATGTCGACAACCCAAACCTGGCCAACTGCTATACCCGTTGGGGTAGATGTTTAGCCGTCACTGACTTGAATATCTACAATGTCTATGGAAATCAGATGGAAAAATACTTCAAGCACTATGATATTGACCTAGTATTCCACAAGACAAAGATCGGAGAAAAGGCGAAAACCATCCCTACCTTTTTGAGTATTGTGGACTCCATGACCGAATTTGGAATCTACCGCAAAGTTAGTACTCTAACCGAATTTTGATGAGTTTTCCACGTTCAATTCTAATATGAGTTTTAGGAGCCAGTTCTTGTTGTGGGAGGAGGTCTTGTCACCGACGTTGCAGGGTAAGTCGTATGCTTTTGAATGGAATCTTCTCAAAATCACGTGAAATGAATTCTGATAACTTATTGTTTGACAGGTTTGCCTGCGCAGCATATAGACGAAACACCAACTTTATTCGTGTTCCAACTACTGTCATTGGATTGATTGATGCATCGGTGTCAATCAAGGTTGCAGTGAATTACGGCAACTACAAGAATAGGCTAGGCGCCTATCATGCCCCTATTCATACTTTCCTTGACTTTACATTCCTACGAACACTCCCCACTGCGCAGATTCGCAATGGCTTTGCCGAATTGATCAAAATTTCATCATGCTCACATCTCCCCACTTTTGATTTACTGGACAAGTACTGTGAACAGCTCATCGAGTATTCTTTTGGTCGAGCCAATGGCTCTTCCAAGGAATTAATTGATGCCGCAGACAAGATCAACAGAGAAGGCATTCATGAAATGTTGAAGTTGGAAACACCAAATCTTCACGAGATTGGTTTGGATCGTGTCATCGCTTATGGGCATACGTGAGTAATTCAACAATATACTGTATATGTTGCCAATTCTAAGATGGTGTCATCAGATGGTCACCTCTTCATGAACTTGTTCCTGACACACCACTCCGACATGGCCACGCAATCTCCATTGATATGGCTTACTCGGCAACTCTTGCCAACCAACTGAAGCTATTGAGTGATGAGGAGCACCGCCGGATCTTGAATCTGTTCTCCCGCGCAGGCCTTTCAATGGATCATCATCAATTCGACGAAGCTCTTCTTGCCAAGGCCACTGCTGCCATTCTTAAGACACGAGATGGTAAACTGAGAGCCGCGGTCCCAAATCCCCTTGGGTCTTGCACCTTCCTGAATGATGTCAATCCCGAGGTAATGAACGATGCTTTGCACCGTCACAAGGAGCTGATGAAGGAGTATCCAAGAAACGGAGAAGGGCTCGAGGCATTCGTCGATGCTTCTGATACCGGTTACACCGAGAATGCGAAGATGGAAGAAGAAAGAGTCATTGAAATGGCTGCGAAGAAGGCCGGTCAGTCGAATGGTACTAATGGTCATGTGAAGGCAAAGATTAATGGTAACCATGTTGCTTCCACAAATGGTAAGGTAAACGGTCTCGTCAATGGCCACGGTGATGGGGCATTGAGCAATGGTACGACACGCAATCATTCTTGATGGATATTTGGAAATTTAAAAAAGAAGTTGATGTTTGAGTTTTTGATGTCTTTAGGCCATGGATGGATATCACGTATGGTTTCTTTAGAACGATGATTTTTCCTGAAAGATAAATTTAATGCTTTCAAATCCACTGTGTACTTGAATGATAAGTGCGATTCTGGACTCCCAAAATTTCTAGTCCTCAACTTGAGCCCTAAGGCAGGCAGTGGTGGGTTCTCGAGGAAGTTCACAGTCAATCGTTACAAATTCTTAAACCTTATGGAACTAGCTACTTAGAGGTCATGCAGAGCAGACAGAGGTGTAGCATTGAGTGAGAGGAGTTCATGAATAAGGGAGGCAAAGATGCCGGCTGTAGTAGAGCAGAGGGGTAGTTCCCATTTATCGTGTTTACAGTCAATCACTCATTCCCGGTGAACCATTCGGATATAAGATCTGGCCATCGTTTCGAAGATAAGAAAACAATTTTCTTCTTT